TTGTCTAATAAATTACTGTTCTGGTTTGAATTCATTATTTTATTCATTTTAAATAAAAGCTTATTTTATAAATATAAATACATAAATATGTTAAGATAAAAATTGTGTAGGGCATAATTCTAAATTTATCTCGCGGTAGTCCTTTAACTCTCCATTGTAATTTTTTTTCGCCTTTCTGTCCTAAAAATAGTAACTGCTTATAATAAATCTTTCAAAACTGTGTTATATCAAAATTAATTCATGCCATAATTTGTTATTTTAAAACATTCAAAATAATATAAATAAACAATTGTGCCTCTTAGACTATTTTAATCAAGAGCATTTGAAAATTTCTGATTTCCAGCATGCATAATGATAATGACACAGATAATTTTACAAACTGAAATTCAAACAACCAATCAAAACAAAGTGAAAATAAGTTTTTATGAAACTTTTATCTTAGACATATCACATTTGAGCTCCTGATTTGTCTTCAATCAAATCAATTAACAATTATAATCGGAAGGAAAAAAAGGGTGGATATATTGCAAGAAAATGCTTGATTTTCTCTTTGAAAAAATATTTATTGCATCACTGAGAAGTATAAGTTCATGTATCATAAGTAGCATTCTTCCATGTATACAGAGCAATAATAATAGGAATTGTTTGTATATATTTAGCACAGTGATTTAAAATATGATATCATCAATTCACTTAAAATGTTCTGTTTTAATTGTTATTGTTGTTTTGAAACATTCAAAACAAATAAATATCCAGTTCTGCCTCTTAGACTTTCCAGCTACAGCACTTGAATATTTCTGAATCATCATTTGTGACTCATACTGATGCAAAATCTTACTGCCCTTTGTTTTATAGGAAAGAACTTTATACTAGCTACTAGCATTTGGGTTTTGCCATAGGTTCATAGAACTCATATAAAAATTCATTGATTAGTAAACAATTTTATAAATACATGTATGAGCACTAAACATTTGAAAGTATTAAATTATTTTTATATTTTTGCATTAACTCAGTACTTTTCAATTTTTAAAATAGATTTTTTTTAGAAATATTTATGTGTAAAACAAATTTAAACCTTCTGTAGGGTGACCTTGGAGCAATTGATGAAAAGTATGATGTAGCTATATCTACTGCTTGTGGTCAGTTGGATAATATTGTGACTGACACTTTAACTACTGCTCAAGAGTGTGTACAGTTCTTGAAAAAAAATAAATTGGGATACACAACTTTTATTCCTTTGGATAAAGTAAGTAAAAATTTGTAAGTTGATCAAAAATAATAAATATCTGAAAAGTAGACAGTGTATGTGACTAATTTTATTTAAAAAAGTAATAATTCTTTTAAATAGAAATGTTTTTGGCAATATGGTTTTAATATGATTGTGTCAAATATGAAAAAACTTTGCTGTTTTTGATATATTTTGTGGGATTCGAACCAAACTACCAATATTCAGCGACTTTACCGCTCGGCCGCTGGTGAGCCAAAACTAGCTTGTATTCATATTCATAAATACTTTGGGTGTTAACTGACCTACTTTATCTTTCAGATGTGCAGAGAAAACAGACAAAACTTCCTGGTTAGTTCTGTTTGTAATAAAAAATGCATAAGGAAAGTCTTGACGCAAAGCATCAAGTACAAGAAGTGTGACTAGTTCAATTCTGTAACTTGTTCAACCTATGTGTATCATTTATACATATATAGTCTGATCCCAGCTTCTGTAGAAAGGGTGTCTGGGAGTCATTCATTTTTAATTAATGGAAAATCATCATTTTAAAAATTCAGGATAATTTTCTAAAATTCTATTTTGAAGCGTGTAACATAAAACACAGTTGTTGTCCTCACCAGTCATTTCACTAATGCAGGCTTCTACATTTAGACAATCATTCTATGCCTTACAGCATTTGATTGTAGGTTATAAGAATTTTTGGTATTCTTCTGTTATCGGGACCAGATTCAGAAATGTATGTGAATATATGCATTTGTGTATACACACATATATTCGTATGTACACATATACATGCATACATGAACACATTCATCCAGCCATACATGCATACATTTCTGAATCTGGCTTTGATAACAGAAGTGTACCAAATTTTCAATATTCCATAAATATCTCTTTGTCAAAAGATACAATCTCTCAAGCCCAGTATCAGATACAGAATCTCAAATTTTATCTAAAATTGCATCAAAAGGGACTTTTCTAAACAATTTTTGTTACATAGATTAAAATTAGAACGACATTTGTAAGAGACAGAGGCCCTATACTCTTTTTATGACCTACGTGGCTTCAATATAAGCAGTATATTTTCCATTATTAAACTGGCTTACTTTTATAGAGAGGCTTAGCAATAAGCATTAATTTTGTTATTCCCTTATGGTGCATACCTTGTTCTTTAGATATATAATTTCCTGAGTGATGGCATACAAAATAAATATCTTTTACATATAATTGGTCATGTTCCTTTGTAAATTAAAAAAAATATATATATATGTTTCCATTTCCAAATTCTCTTTCCACAGCATGAAATCATGTTATACACCAGAAATACTTTTCAGCTAGACTACCACCACAGATTTACAACAGTGGATAGGAGCGTTGGCTGCCTGCATATTTTCCTAGGATTGTCGTGCTCAAAAACTTAATGATTAGTTAAATTTTTATGTCATACACATTAAGTACTTACATGTGACAAATTGTATAAAAAGTACTTACATATGACAAGTGCAATTAATTTAAAATATTTAGTCATGTTATTGCGAGAGTCTAGCTGTCGCATACATGCTGTACCCGTGCTAGGAACGGCCCTGACAGTGGAAGATAACCATGTTCAAATCATGACAAAATTACTTTGGCAGCAACAACACAATTTACTGGCTATTAAACTGCCATTGAAACTTACTTGTCAAGTCACTATAGTTAATAAGTATCCCTATTAACTTAAAAAAATTACATGTTTAGTTATTATGAATATCTTACATTTCTATTAAGTTATAAGGTTATTCTTGGTCTAATACTGAAATTTTAGTCTTATAACCCTAATAGGCATGTACTGAATTATTACTTAAGCGAGTACGACAAAGCCATATGAAGGATCTTAAAGCAACCTTTTTTTTTAAAACTGAACTTTTAACAAAACAGAGCATGATATAACATATATGCAAAATGCACATTTTGCATATGTAAATTTATAATATTTTCTTTTTCCGTAATACTTCAGAGTTGTAAGTATGTAGAAAGAAAACATTTTTAAACAATGTTTCATTATGAGCGGAGTTAGATGCTATACTTTTCCCAGAACAGTTTAATTTGAATAAAATATTTTCACAAGTTTTTGTTAATTACATTAGAAAGATATTTTAAGGTAATTTGATTTTATTTGGTTAACAATTACAAAAATTAAGATCAAGGTTTATTATATTATTAATATCAAAATTATGCATTATTTCTTTCTTCCCTAATTACAGAGCTTCTTCCTGAAATACTTTCTCAAATACAAAATGATTTTTTTTATTTTCTGAGGGATCCTTTAAATAAAAAATCAGAGTTCCTTTATAATTAATGCTCTGTTCGTTTCATATCAAATTAGAGCACCTTTTACTTTAATAGTGAAATACGTTAAATATTGCTGCTGATTTCCGTGTACTTAACTTTCCTATGAATATTTCTGAAAGGGAATTAAAAAGGCTTTTTTTTTATTATTATTTTTAAACTTGTACCTGAGTTATTATAAAATGTAAGGAAATAATAATAATTCTTTAAATACTTACCAGATGATTTTTTTTTCACCCTCAATTGCCATAATACTTATTCTAAATATTCTCCTTGATTATTTCTTTAAGTAAACTTCTCATGGAATTTGCCTTATAATACCTTTTAACAGATTGCTTTCCAGTACAAGCTATTCTTAAATAGTTTTACAAATATGTTAACAAAATTTTGCTTTATGTTTACAGTTAAATGCTAAGGTTAGTATATATTTAGATAATATTTATAATCATTATAAATTTAGATACATTTAATAACTAGATTTCTTCACAGTACCTTTCGCAGAAGTTTATGCACTTCATTGTTCTTGTACAGATAATGAAATGTCAATAGTGTAATTCATTGTTGAGATGCCAGTTGCAACACCAAATGCTCAACTTATCACATAGCTGATGCATCAGAATGTGCTCATATGTGTCATAAATAAGCCTTTTTAATACCCTTAAATGCATAAACTTAGTATAATCAATAAAGAAATTTCAGGAACAAATAATAGGCACTCTCTGTCATTGTCCTGTAATTACCTGCTAAGAATTAAACTAGCGTAAAGTGGCATATTTCCTTATCATTTGCATGTTCTAGCAATAATTTACAGAAGATAGGCATGCTTAATTAACAATAGTCATAGGTAATATTTCATTATTATTTATTGTATATAATTAATTTAATGCATAATTAAAAAGGAATAAACTTTTTAATAAAAAAATGCACTACTTAAAAACTTGCATTAGTAAAAATTTTATTTTTTTATCTCTAAGCATAAATTATTTTTTTTTACCGATTTATTCATTCAACTGTATTCACTGTAGATCATATACAGATATGTAATACAGATTTAATACAAATGCATCCATTCTCAACACATGACACAAATTTTCAAATCACGCAGTACTTCGTGTAAATAAACGGAACTTCACGAAGAGCACGACAGCATATGCGCAAACTGAGATGTGCACGGGAGGATCAGATCACGATCCAAAAAGTTGCCTTCTCTCCGTAAATGCTAGTGAAATCCAGGCATCCTGTTACCAGAATGATTCAGACCTTACATAGAACTTTATAGAAATTTTCTTTCATTTAGTTTCATTGAGCACATCTCCCCTGCTTGCTGAAGTACGTATTTGCCTTCAGAAGTTATGAAACCTTGTGGTTGGGATATGAAAATTTCATTATCAGTTTCTACATACAAATAAGCCCTAAATATCCGTCTTGTGTATTTTAAGAACATACTTAGCAGTTAATATGAGCAATAGAATTATGAGCAAAAATGTTTCAGTATAGTCAGTTTCATAGTTTTGAGTCCTTGAGTTTCATAGTCCTTTTAGTAATGAGTCTGGCCTTGTGCCAATCAACAGTGCTGTTCACTTTTCACTTTATTGGAAACACTTGTGCCGACAATAGTTTTTATTTATATCCTGAAAAGTTATTTTATTGTCAGGTGTTGTTTTAAAAAAATATATTCTAAATATAACGGCTGTCTCTCTCTCACTTTTTTTTTTTTTTCGTTATTACTTTATAAAGCTTCTTTAAAGTTTCTGGATTTGTGAGAGTTTATCAATTGAATGTTTTTGCTAATGTATTTTTCTTGGTGTCTCCAATACACCTGTTTCCAGAAATTGCAGGTCCTCCTGTTTTTGTTTCAGAGATTTCACATAGAATTGTGTGTGTTTCTCCCTCCCCAACTTTGCGAGAACAAATTTGATAAATTACTTTTCAACAGCCGTTGAAGTTTCTAATATCATTTCAGTGTCCATCAATACCCAAAACCAAACATCATGACTCATCATTGTTTGGCAGGTTCTAGCTTTCCACAGATTTTTCACTTCCTCTGCATATCCAACAAAAACTTTTAGGGAGAAATTTATTTCTCCTGTTGGACTTGATCAATACAAAAGCTTTACTTATTATCATACAGTACAATATAATAAACCAAATTTCTTCAGAAATTTTGGATCTACTTTTAGTAAGATATTGGTTGCATATGTAAGCAGTTGTAGATGCCATTTTTGCCCCTAATTCTTGGAGCAATTTTTGTTTGAACAACAGACACCTGTTTATTTCATTTAAGGTACAATTAGCACATTCTGCAACTCTTTACTTGAGGTCTGTACTCAACTGAAAAATGATGTTTAATGCCTTCCCTTTTCAAAAATTGGTTGAATATACTACTTGTGATTTCTTTAAAATTATGATTTGGGAGGATTTTAAGCTGTCTTCCTATGTTTTTTGTATTTCTTAAATGTTTGAAGGACCTGTGACCTTTTTGTTAGACATACCTAGTAATTTTTCATAATATGTCTTCTATGAACATTCTGAAATATCTTGCCTCTACCTAAATATGCGACTTTCATTGGACAACAAATACCAGTGTGTTTAAGTTCAAGAAAGCCATGATTTACTGCTAATATTCTTTTGGGGGCTAAAGAGAAATATTACTTTAAAGGGCACTATATTTAGAATACTGAAAAGTGTGTCAAAAGAATTACGCACTATCCTAATAACTAAATACTGAAAAAAATTCAAAAAGTTTATAAATATACTCATGTGTTTAATGTAAGGAGTATATGAACCTGTAATAGTGATAAAATTAATTTTATTCTTAATATATGTATATGTATTGGAATTTTTTGTGTGTTTAATCTTATATATGTTAAAAATGTTAGAGAATAATTTGAATTATACAATAATTTTAGAAAATTAGTCTTGTGTTTATATGTGTATTGTTTAAAAGTATGTAATTTTTTTTATAGATGAAAATCTGGGAATCCTACTCTCAAAAGAAAATATCAACGTAAGTTTATCTCATTTGTGAGCATAATTTTCTTATATTTCTGAGACAAAAATTTTGTTACTTAATTTTAAGTCAGTTCACTTTTCTTCAATAAAATGGTTTTGCATTATTTGCATACATTCTGATAAAATGCTTTGCTACTAGATTTAAATTCATTCAAATAACAGGATAGTCTCTGCTCTTATTTGTGTTAATATTGGATATGAGAGAGATATATATTCTGAAAGTCTGTTTGCTTTAGTTTGAAGTATTAAGTGTGACATTAGTCTCCTTCATATTGTGAATATTTAGTTCAAATAATTTGGAACATGTAGAGAATTTATTGAATACTATTAACTTTCTGTAATTTTCTCTAGGAATGAAAATTGAAATTTATAGCATTCAGGATTTACTTACTTTTCTTAATACATTTAATACCACACAGCTTATGTATGAGCCATAGCGTTTCTGCAAACAAACCAACAATGCATATGTAGAGATTTAGTTTCTATATAATTTCTTGGTGAAATCTGAAGCAACTGCATTCATATTAAGTAGTGTCTAATATGAATATTAGACTATTAGTCTATAAGAAGCAAGTCTCATACTAGTGAAAGATGGTCTCGCATTCTGACTTATTGTTTAAATGATATTAAAATGATTATATAACAGTAAAATTACTATAATTGTTAAAATAATATTAAATTCCTATTATTGTTTAAAACAACCCTGAAGTCTTACATTACAGTTAGGTTTGGGTGTTACAAAACTATATTGATTTGGCAAGAAAGTACTTTCAGTTTACACAAATAGGTAACGTTATGTTCGTTTTGTTATTCTTCTGTCAGTCTTATAATTTTTTTGTTTCTGAGACTTGGCAGACTCTTTTAGTTTGCTATAAAAATAAATTCCATATATTTTTGTTTCCAATCTTAATTTATAGTCAATTTTAACATGGAGTGCAAAAATAAATTTTCAATATATTTTATGCTTTAAATAGGGTTCGTATGGTCTTTAAAAGTCCTATGTTTTTTGGAATCGATTTTTGGTCCTTAAAAGGCCTTAATTTTGGCTAAAGTTGGCAAAAGGTCCTTTAATAATCAGAAATTTCTGTCTGTTTGTATGACTGCCATTTTGAGTGTGAATTAGCATTTTGCAGCAATATTTTTGGCGATTCACTGACAAATATGGTTATTTTTTGAATGGGTTCATGGGTTATAATTTGTTCCTATTTCTAATATAAATGATGGGATACTTGAGTTTCTAAGCAAGGTGTGAAACATAAGCATTTCAAAATTCATTTTTTCTAATAAAGAGCTTATAAACAACTTTTCGCTTTTGGGGATGTGAATAATTACAGAGTTTCATTATTAAAGTCTTATAATTGCAGTGTCGTGAATTCCCATTAAATAATCAGTTGAAATCTTTTCACTTTCAGCAACTTCCTTATTGCTGTCTTAACTATTGGCAGCAATATTTTCTGGATATAAAACCATACTGCAGGTTTCACCATCTTTTGATTGATGATCAGGGCATTATCGTAACAAGGAACACCTTCAAGCTCCATCATTCATAATTTAGATTTTGTCACATTCCATGAATTTGACAATTTTATAATTCTTTTCTATCAAAGGCACTTCAGATTTTTTTAAATTAATTAATTTATTTATTTATTTTTAGCATATTTCCCCAGTATCAGATATCACAAGTTTAGGTTGTTAGTTGGCTCCTTTGTTGGCATAACCTTATATTTCATCTATCTACAGTATGAGTAATGTTTCACATAAGTGAAATCTTACAATTTGAAATTTGCCGTGAAATTATGAGTTATTATCCTCTTTCTTCAAGAAATACATTTGCTGTGTTTGACAAGCAACCTGATGAAACTTTAATGTGACTCAAAGCTAAAAAGGGCCTTATTTTCTTGCATTTCAGCTTATTAATTTTGCCATCCATTAATTTGTTATCATCACAATGGAAGACTTCAGTTATATTGCATATTCCATTAATTAAAAATTTCATTTATTATTACTTGTGATATTATCCAGAAATCTTCAAAGTTACTGCATCATCGTCATCATCATGAAAAATGGTATCTTGGTATAAACAATCCAGTATTTTTAGTACTCTTGGTGATCAGTACAGTTGGTACCCCATATAATTTAAATATATTCATAATTCAAAGTAAAATGTACCTTGGTTCTTTGTGAGAGCAACTTAATTATTCAAAAATAAGCATCATAGGCAGCTTCCTGTGTTGCCTATATCTGTGTAAGAATTTTTAAAATGTCTGCAGACTTTTCTTCTGATCTTGTAATGCTCTGTATGCTCCACACAGTGGATTTTATTTATTTCAAGTATTCTAGAATAGTTTTATTGCTGCATCAATGATGTTGCAATAAAACTATTCTAGAATACTTGAAATAAATAAATCTAGAATTAATAGAAAGAAGGAGAATAAACTATTCTAGAATACTTGAAATAAATAAATCTAGAATTAATAGAAAGAAGGAGAATAAACTATTCTAGAATACTTGAAATAAATAAATCTAGAATTAATAGAAAGAAGAAGAATAAACTATTCTAGAATACTTGAAATAAATAAATGAAAATTACTACAACAGCATTGAAAAGGCTATATCTGCATTTCAGTATTCCGAAACTTCAATATTCAGTGACTGTTTGATGAATATAAAGTTTTTTAAAAGAGCAAAATGAAGATGTCATTTTCTACCAAAACTGTATTTCTTATAAAAAAACATTAATAATAATAATAGGCTGAACAAAATAAGTTGGATTAAACCAGAAAAATAAAGGGAAAATGTAATTCACAATGCTAGCTGATTTTAAGTTACCAAACCTAATTCTTTCTCCTTCTCTGCCGACAAAAGGAAACCAGTATGTGCTACACTCAGTGGAGGGGGGGGCAGTGATAAAAAAAGAGTTATGGAAATTTTGGATAATAAATGATGCTGCTTATTAAATGTCTGGATTTTGGACATTGTACCATATTTGTTAAAAATTATTAATGTAATGAGTTTTAGAAAGTGTTTACTAATGTTATTTTCTTAAATGCATCACTCTTATTTAATAATAATTTACTGTGGGCTGCTGAGCATTTTTAAAGCACTTATTAAATTATTACTATTGATGTTGATTCATCATAATGATCTATATTATATATATAATTAAAAAATAAAGTTTTTTTTTTAGATATATGTTATATCTGATAAAATGGGCCTTTATTTACTAAAAACTATGTTTTGTGATTCATTTGGCAATGCGTTTTTAGGTCTGGTATGTTGCTGACCTGGGAACACATGTAAATTTGTCTTTCTTATTATAACAGTTTTGCAGTTCGTAAGCAATTATGTATTCCATTAATGAATTTATGAATGGTAGTTGGCAACCTAATAAGTATTACCTTTGATGACACAATTAAGCTTAATTACTAAAGCAGTATCAAATGGTTGGTTCGTACATAAGCAGTATATTAAAGAGTAATACTTATTTATATAGTGTGAATTAATTGTATACATTTGTATGTACGAACTTTCTCAATAGCCCTGAAAATGTACCTCGATTGTTTGACTTGATTCATGTGAAAGATAAAGCTCTGTTACCTGCTTTCTACTTTGCTCTTCGAGACACCCTAGTTGCAGAGGACCTTGAACAAGCTACTCGCATTGGCCTACAGGGAAAAACCAGGTATCGCGTCGTGACTTTAAAAGGGCAGCTCATTGATTTAGCAGGTAATACTCATTTAATTTGCATTAAATATATAATAGTTTTATGATTTTTTTAATTGCTATGAACCTTTAAATTGTATGAAGAGTCTTATGCTGATTAGCAATTTGGCATTATAATTTTTTTAATCAGTTAACACTTGGCATGCGGGCAACATATTTTTTCATTTTTTGCAGTCTGTCACTGGAGCGCGGGTCACGTAAAAATACGTATGGCATGCAGGCAACGTATTTTTACGTTTTTTGCAGTCTGTCACTGGAGCGCAGGTCATGTAAAAATACATATTTAGTAGATTTGTGGTGGATACCTGCTAACCACCACAAATCTATCAAATACGTATAATTATATGTATGTGTGACATTATATGGGTGTTGTTTGCATTGTTAGGCAACGCTTTGCATTTTTTCTTTTAACAAGTTATGATTGTCGAGTTACTTAGTCTTTTGTTGACTTATTTTGTCTTCAATCAAATTCTTAGCTCCAGAAGGTACAAGTCATGTTTTGTCAATTTGAAGCTTAGTTTTTTGTTATTGATTAAATAAATTAATAAAATGAACCGTTGTGATAAAGATAGTGATGTAGAAATATGCGCTGACAGATTATCGGGCTTTTCGTATGATAATGATTCTGAAAGTCAAGATATCGAAGATAGTGACAGTGATGACATTATTCCACGTTCTCGAGTGTTCGTCCAAAGAAGAATTTCTAGTAGTTTTGAAACAACTTCTGATGAAGAAGCAGATGAATGGTCATCGAATGACAATCCTCCAGATCTTGAAGAGTTTTTGGGTCATCCTGGGATAACTAACATGGCTGATGTTCCTGAATCCACAGCTGATGCAGTAAAGTTATTTATAGGCGATGACTTTTTTTTTTGCATATTTAGTTGCGGAATCAAACACATATTATTATCAAAATATGAATCAGTTCGAAATATCTCCCCAAAGCATGAAATGAAGAGATATTCCGATTCCGGAGATGAAGAAATTTTCATGGGACAAGTTCGTAAAGACGCCCGAGACGATTATTGGTCAACTAATGTCTGCACAAGTACACCGTTTTTTAAAAAAACTATGTCAAGGAATAGATTTCGCCAAATATGGAAAGCTTGGCATTTCAATAACAATGAAGACATCACGGATGATTCTGATCCATTATTCAAAGTCAGGCCTATACTAAATTATTTGTTGAAAAATTCAATAACATTTACAAACCGAAACAACAAGTATTGTTAGATGAGGGCATAATACCTTGGAGAGGACGATTGTTTTTAAGAGTTTACAACGCTGGAAAAATTATCAAATACGGCATACTCATATGAATATTGTCTGAAAGTGACACTGGTTATATTTGCAATTTTGAAGTTTATTCAAATCAAGGATTACGTTTGATCGAAACTATACTCACAGTAGTTTCACCATATACTGATGTCTGGCACCATTTGTACATGGGCAATTACTACAACAGCGTCAATAACACCAAAAAGCCCTTTAAAAAAATGTAGAACAATTAGGAAGAATAGAGGTCTACCAGAGTGCCTGAAAAAAACTAATTTAGAAAAAGGTGAAGCAATCTTTCGAAGAAAAAATGATATATTGGTACAAGTTTGACAATCCAAGAAAGAAGTCAGTCTCATCTCTTCAATCCATTCCGCAGAAATGAAAGAAAGTAGTAATGTTGATCGTATCAAGAGACAAAAAAATTATGCCAAATGCTTTGATAGACTACAACAAGTACATGAAAGGAGTAGATTGGGCCGATCAGTATTTGTCCTACTATAGTATTTTGCGTAAAACAGCGAAGTGGACAAAGTGCTTAGCTATGTATATGATGAATTGTGCATTTTTCAATGCATATGTAGTTAACAATTCAACAAAGACGCAAAAAATAAAATATAAGAAATTTTTGCACGACATCGCATGACATTGGGTTACTGATGAACTACCTGAAATCAGCACTGAAGAACCAGAGCAAATGATATCAAAACGTGAACCTCCTGGAATATTGTTTATGGATATGTGCAAACAAGTATTGGGGAAAATTGTTGGTGCCGGGAAGAAGAAAAATCTACAAAGACAATTTATGTGTGCACAGTCGAAAAAGCGAGAAGTGAAACGTGTTTCATATGTAGCTTCTGCCGTGTTCCACTTCATAACAAGAACTATTAACTATTAACAGAACAAGAACTATTAACATGTTATCAGTTCTATTTGTACTTGCTATGAAAAAATATTTTTGAATACATTGTAAAATTTTAAAAATCGTTTATTTTTGTGATTTCGTAAAAATATCTTCTCTCTCTCTCTTTTTTTTTTTTTTTTTTTTTTTGTTGTTGTTAAATAATCATACAGTATATATTTAAGTGTAAAATAAAAAAGTTTCGTTCATAAAAATGTAGTAGTTTTTGATTTACTGCGATTTTCCTAAATAACCATACTTCCGCGCAATTCGTGAAAAAACGCCCGCTGCATGCGTAAGTTCGCGGCGAAGTATACTTGCATGCCAAGTGTTACCCTTTTTATGCATAATTTTAATTGTTTGCAAATCAGTTATCAGAGAGGAATATTGCTGTTTTTGCATGTATTTTTCATCAGTGACAAAAATTCATATCAGCATTAAGAATAATATTCAGAATACTCATTTCATTTCACTTGTTTCAACTTTTTGTCCTGTCATTATCTATAAAAGTAATCAAAAGTCAAGTCAAACACAAATAAACAAGTTCTGAAAACTAGCAATATCAGTTTTAGAAAAATGTAATAAAAACTGAGATTTGTGTTATTTCATGAAAATGAACAATTATTTTAAGAAAATACAAATTGTTTAAAAGAAAATATAATGTTATACTTATGACAGTGGGCGTTTTGAAAAGTGTGTTACAAAGCAATACTTAATGCTTTATATGTAAATAGAAAAATTAATGTTTGGTAAAATTTTGATAATCTGCACTTGTTAGTGAATGGGAAAAAAAAATAGGAAATTTAGTATGATAATATTAGCATCAGTTTTCTTCCCTTACATAGATATGCAAGTAAACTTTTTAACCAAAAGTTAGCAAGCTATTTTGGTTGAAGCCCAGGCTTAAAGTTTGTTTTTTGTCGGTTTTGAAATAAAGGGTTTTAATTTTGCTTAAAGTCCTAAAGTTTTTTGGTCTTTAAAAGTCCTTAATTTTGGCTAAAATCAGTAGAAGGCTCTTAATTTTAATCATCTGAAATTTTTCTCCATTTTTAGGACTGCCATTTCTAGTGTGAATTAGCATTTTGGAGGAATATTTTTGGCGATTCACTGATGTGTATGGTTATCTTTTGAATGGGCTCATGGGTTATAATTTGTTTCTATTTCTAATATAAATGATGGGATACTCGAGTTTCTAAGCAAGAAGTGAAACATAAGCATTTCGAAATTCATTTTTTTAATAAAGAGCTTTATAAACAACTTTTCGCTTTTGGGGTTATGAATTCTTTTATTAAACGGTTCTAAATTTGACGACTTGTCAACATCTTGGCGATTTTAAGATCAGTTTCTACAGAAAATTTTTAATTCCGAAATCTGAGAATTTTCGGCGATTTTTTTTAAAAACATCATAACATTGATAAATTTCATTAAAAATAAGGTAAGAATTATATTTAAATTTAAAAATAACAAAATAAAACATTTTTATTTTTCACTGTCATATTATAAAGTTTCATTTTGGCAACTTATTATACAATATTTTGAATCTGAAAAATAAATAAGGTATAATGCTAAAATGCATAATTTATGAAACAGCTCTTAGTAAAGTAAAATTAGCTATGTAATTAACTAAAAGTCTTAATTTTTAATTTTTCATAGTAAGAGTTTCCCATGTATTGCTCAGAATAAGTTTTCTCATAAAATTAATAAACATCAGTTTCTCTAAAAAAATATTTCCTGGCTTTTTTTTCCAAAATATTTCTGGCTTTTGCTGTTACAGAATTGGGATTTGACATTGCAACATGGATTTGAAGGCAAGATTTGTAGATCCACGATTCTAGAAGATTCGAGAAATATGTGACAAAATGAAAAATGTCTCCATAGTATCAAGACATAATGGGTGTATTTTACAGAAAGTTTGCGATGAATTTCTTACTTTTTGGAGAACATCTGGAAGAACAATGGAAACATAATATTTGAATGTTTTACTGCTGATACTAGAATCTTTTTCTTAACATGTTTATCTTCCCTACTTTTCTCTAGACATAAGCATGGAAAATATCAAAAATGCTTCTAATCTTATCATTTGAGCAGGCATTATAGAAAGATTTTTTTTTATTAATAAAAAAATTGAGAACTTACAATTGCATTCATCTAATATGTCTAAATGCATTGTACACAGAGCTGGTGCTAGGCATTTTCCATCCTGATGCAATCTCTGTGGATCTTAAATTCTGCTGCGTAGTGCCTTTCTAAATTCTGCTTTCTAATTCAATGCCTGCTCTAAATTCTAAAAGTTTTGCCATTTTTAGATTTTCTTGTTCTGTGTGTCACTAAATTCTAAAAATTCTGCCACACCAGCTCTGTAACCAGCCTTTACCATATATATTTCATATTTCTTCTGAATGTTCATATTACTAAAGAAATAAAATTAGCAACTTTTTCTATACATTCTAAATGTATTTAGTGTTTTTTAGAATAGCAGAAATCCTTAATTAAATCCAAAAATTCTAAAATTAAAAGGAAACTTGTTGAAGAAAGAAACCAAGATACCAACATAAAGAAAATTATTCTTCAAAGATATGTGCAGTTATTATTATGAAAATTACCCAATTGTTTATGATTTTAGCCTTTACTATAATTTTCCATTTCTGTTTCCTCATATGATAAAGTTACTGAGCCATATTAAATTAAAATTAAATTGTATAATCTTTGCCCACTAGTCCACATTTTTAGTTTGAATTTGACTGTCTTGTTTAATTATGTCACCGTGAGCTATAATTGACTTTGTTAGCATCAGAACATGCCTTTATGTTCTAAGTTCTTTTAAATA